TGACTAAATAGACCTAGTTACTTTTGAATATTTTTATACTTCTTAATTAAAAACTGATATCACTTGTGCTAATTTTTTTTATGTAAATAGAAGAGACATAAAAATCTATTCTCTTAGTTTATAGTCTACGAGATGAAAATTTAGTTACAGAGTAACACTGATTTATATTTAATTACTTATTCATTAATTTTACTGTTATCGATAAAAATATTAGATTTCCTACGTCCAATATGCAAATCCTCGTGACAACAGCACGGTTTGATCCAATATTTTCCGCTAGGAGTACCGAAGTTTTGGAATCGCAGATAAATTCGGAGATTGCTTCAAAATTCCAGGTCAGTTAATTTTAGTTTCGTACTAACCGTTAAAACTCCCGAGATTCGTTTGAATCAAAGAAATCAACTGGTAATATTTTAATTGGATCGAATTTAGTTTTTGGCAACCGTTTTTGTCGGATGAAACTGAAATCGCTCTACTGATTCCGTCGAGTATTTCCTATAACAAATTTCTACGTCAAATTATTTAAAAAATTTAAACAATTCTACCTAACACACGACATTATATAAGAAATTGTTTTGCTGCATTTTCATTGCATTATTCTTTTTCCTTAGGCATTTAACTTCGAGTGTGTTCAATAACCGAGTTGTTTTTTTTCATGGCGACTGCTTCACTGAAGATCTCGCGAAGAATATCGCGTAATGTAATCCGAGGAATAATAATGGCGAGACGTGTGAAGGATGGGCCATCGAACGCGAAAAGTTTTTCACCTCGTAAACTTGTAATACCATCGAAAGGATGGGGCGGGTGTAATCTGTCCGGTCGTTTAATTAATTTTCCTCTCCAGGGACATAAAAACCCGCGAAACGAGCTCGAATTATCGCTCGAATTAATTTGATAATTTCAGCCTTTAGCGCCTGTCCTTCCATAATACGCGTCGATTGCGCTTTAATTGCGCGATCATAAAAGCTTATACATTAATTAAGAAGGAAACTTTCCGGTACACGTTATAACTGTTAATCATTGTTGTGTAATAATATTTATGGATCGTGCTGCCGATTTCTAATGGCGGAATGTATTTATGGAGATTCTGTGATAAATGAGTAATTATCGTTGCTCTTAAAGCAATCAATCTTTAAACGGTTAAACAAAAGTTATGAGGTAGAAAGTTATTAATTGTTCTACTTGCATTCGTTTCGAACGTCGATCTTTGAAATAATAACGGTCATCGTTTATGATATCTCTATGGAATGAGAAGATCATTTTCAAATGATTTCACATTGGTCTCATGAAAATGAACGTTGTCCTCGAGATGAAAATTTCAGTTGTAATCATTTTGATTTTACTTTCTCAATCGTAGTGCCAATGGAATGACAAGATTCTTCTGATTAAAATGAGTCCAAACACGACATAAATCGGCGCAGTTTTACGATTTCATGGAAACCGGCCTTTAATTTCGATAATTACATTAAATTCGAAAAGTAGTCCGATTACTATCGTGTTTTGGACTCATCTTAACCACAACGATCTCAACAATTCACTGACACCATATCCGAGAAGCTGAAGTTAAAATTACCGCTATTAAAATTTTCTTCGTTGAATGTTTATCAAAATTAAAGGTTCGTTTCCACCAAATCAGTAAAAATAGTCCGATTCCCCTCGTGTTTGGACTCATTTCAATCAGCACAACCTCAACAACTCTCTGACAGTACAATCAACAAAATAATATGAAAATTAATAAAATCAATATTTCCCTTACTACGTCGACCTCCAACGTTCCAACTATATCTCTCACTTCTCTCACTCATTCTCCAACTTCCTCGAACTACACCCCTACCCCTTGCCTCATTCACCCCTTCAATCCCCAGAAAACGTAAACACACCACCTTATTCACAATTACCCACGCAACACGTCCAGATAAGTCGACGTGACGTCAACAAGCGCAAGAATAATATTCTCCTTACGCGCGCGTCGTTCCTGTTGCTTCGCCCCGGCGGGTCACGCAGAAAATTACATTTTCTTGCCGCGAACTTCTTATTCAATTCCGGCCGTCGCCGGGTAATGCATATCGCGGACAGAACTATTACATTACTCGATCGCAATTTGACTTCAAAGGGCTTGGGGTAATACTCGTTGACAAAAGCTTTTGCCCGGAGCACCGGCTACAAATGGAATTAAAGGATACCTAAAAGGATAATCCGACGCGCGTCCGCGGAAGGACTCCGCCACCCCCCGCCCTCTCCGACCCGCGTCGACCGGCCAGGCCGGCAGGCTACTGAATCGCGATTCGACGCTTCTTTACGGCGCCGCTAAATTAATTAGCCGCGCTTCGGCTGAAGGGATAACTACTTCGTTTTCGTATCATTTCGCACGTTCGATTACAATTTTCTTCGTGGCGTAGGGACAATTTTTTTCGCTGTGAACTTATGTCAGTTTTGTAGACGAAATTTTGTTGTATGGATTGGTTAATTTAGAAATAATAATAACAGCAATGTTTATTATAATGGTATTATTGTTAATAACAACAGCAATAGGTATTGTAATATTATTATTATTGACAACAACAACCATAATCGTTGTCATAATATCATTATTAGTGACAATAAGAATATTAATTACAATATTATTATTACTGTAAATGGCAACAATTACAATAATCATAATAATAATAACATTATTAATGCTAACAACAACAACAACAATAATCAGTGTAATATTGTCATTACTAATGATACCAGCAACAGCAGTATTTATTATAATGTTATTATTATTAATGACAACAGCAGTAATCAGTATAATATTAATATTATTGACAACATGGGCCATAATAATTATTATATTATCATTGTTAAAGCCAACAGCAACAACAATAAACAATATAGTAATATTACTATTAATTACAAAAGCAATAATAATTATAATATTATTTATATCGACAACAACAACCATAATAATTATAATATTGTCATTATTAATGCCAACTGCAACAACAATAATCATTACAATACTATCATTATCTATGCCAACGACACAACCATAATATTTATAATACTAACATTATTGATTCTAATAACAAAAACAATAATCATTGTAATATTGCCATTACTAATGCCAACAACAACAACAATATTTATTATAATAATGTTATTACTAATGACAACAACAACAATCATTGTAATATTATCATTATTAATGACAACGACAAGCTGTCAACAAGTACAGTAATCATGATAATAATATTATTATTAATGTCAACAACAATTATAATGGTAATATTATTATTATTATTGACAACAACAACAACAATATTTATTATAATAATATTATTCTTAATGACAACAACAACAATCATTATAATATTATCATTATTGATGACAACAACAATAATAACAGTACTATTATTATTATTACTGACAACAAGAAAAATCGTCATCATAATATTGTCATTATTAATGTCAACAACAACAACAATCATAAAATTATCATCATTAATACCAACAACAACAACAATACGAATAACACAAACCATAAACAGCAACACCAACAATACTCATAAAAACCATCGAAACTGACCCCCAACCCAACGCTCTCCCCCTCCGAAAATTCATTCAAGAGGCAAGCGGTTAAGGGTTAATTCGTCGCGGGTTAGGGGACCCGCTGCCCGGCACGTATGCCGCTCGACTGCAAGGGGTCGACGCAGAGGGAAGGCACGCGCGGAGTATTTAAGAGGAGCAGTAACGTAACAATAGGCAAGTACACGGGCCGGGAAAGGTAATGGTGTGTCGTGGTTCGCCCGAGCTTACTTTTATGTCCCGGCAGGGCCGCTCTTCACCTTCTGCGGCCGCTTTCAACTCTTTGGCACCGGCTTACGCGCCATTTCTTTGCCCCTCCGCGCTTATCTGCTCCCGCCACCCTTCTTTCATTGGGACAAGGCGGAGTGCGAGCGGCAAAGGCTCGCTTTGTTGCCGGACACTGTTCTCTATTATTAAATTGTATATCCCTCGAACTCCGAACCAACGTGACGACCGTTTCACGGAATCCGCGTGGCTAACGCTCGATCGTGACTTGGACACTTTTGCGGACGACACCGGTGCGTAATTATGGGGTTGACCCTTTGCACTTGGAAATTTGGATAGGAATGGTCTTCGTTTTTCGGTAAAATGCCAGTGATAGATTTGGAAGGTAACCTTGATAATATAGGAATCTATTATGTTAAATGAACTTTAACCTTTTACATTTGACAATTTATTTTCATTTTATATGTTTGATAACTAACATTAATATAAATAATGCAGGAATCAATATATAGAACAATCTCATTGTAACGTCCCACGAATAATTACGTTAAATGCACTTTAACTCTTTGAACTTTTGATCTCCTGAGCCTATCGTAATACACATAATTACTCCAAGTATCTCAACGTCCTATAGAAGCAACCTCAAGTCTCAACACTGTCAAAAACTCGGCTATCAGTCATAGTTTCATATCATTCGGCACAATTTTGTATGCCTTTTGTTAATAAACTATTTGTTATCATTTCTGTGATCCCCCCCGACTATTTTAAACATCGATTATCATCAACAGCACCAAAACTCCTACAATAGTATTAACATGTTGACCTACAATATCATATTTGCTGTTATCCCTTGATGATTAGTTGTGTAGTTCATAGGTCATAGGTCATTTATTTAAATATTTATATATAGGACATATACTTATATCATTTATTAATATATTTATACAGGTCATTTATTTCTTAAATATGACCTATGTTCTATGACCTATGAACTATGACCTATGACCCATAACCTATGATCTATGCCCTATGATCCATAACCTATAACCTATGACCAATGACCTATACAATAATCACAGGTCAAAGGGTCAACAGAGCATTCTTCTCATGTCAACAGTCAAGAATGTACACGCGCAGCGTTGATTGTTTACAAAGAATGGAGACTCGAACTCTTATCCTCATTTTCCTAGGAACTAACTTCTCTGTTATTCTAAAACGTCGCCAAGACGTTTCGCCGCAAACCGCTCGTGTACATTCAGCGTTGAAGGGTCCCGAGTTATTCGACTTGTTTGCCGTCTCGTAAGGACAATTTCGGCGCAGTGTTGGCAGTAGTTAAGAATGTACTCACAGTCAACGGAGACTTTGATCTGCTTGCTCACACTTGGAGGCACGCCGTTAGTCGCGATGCACAAGTAAACACCCATGTCAAGTCTGGAGATGCGCGTCATTTCTAGCGTTTCGCCTGGCCACTCCAGCACTGGAAACAAGAAACAGTTCAGCGTTATTATCAGTTCGAACACTTCGAATTGCTTGTCATTCGTAAGGAAGTGTTTATGTGGAGAATGTATGAAATGAGATTTTTATAAGTTTATAAATTTTTATATTTTATAGTTTAATATAATGTAATTTTATAGTTACGTTTAACCCTTTGCACTCGGCAGTATTTTTTATTAGGAATATTTATTGTTTACTGAGAACATATTGACAATATTATCAGTAAGTTTTACAAAGAAACAACTTGTATAATTTATGAGGTGGAATTTTCTTATTTACATGTTTCACGTGTTAGTTCTTTGTAAAATGAGAAACTCAATATAAAATATTTAATAATTCTACTGCGTTGAATTAAATGGCGACTGAGAGTCGCTTTTTGAGAAGAGGGTTGACACGTTGAATGCCATAGGTCACCGGTGACCCACGCACAAATTTTCTAAAAATTACCCAATACACGACCTGCCAAATCAACTTACGTAACCTTATTAATTATCCCAACATTTAAAAAAACATGAAATTCCATTAAAACTGATTATTTATTTAAACTACTTGACACAACAATATAATACCTCAGTTTTTCAACATATACTGCTACTAATAAATTTTCTAAAAATTATCCATTTCACAATCTGCCAAATCAACCTAGGTAACCTCATTAATTAATACAGCATTTACAGAAACATGAAATTCCATTAGAACTAATTATTTATTCAAACTACATCACACAACAATATGCTACGACTCAATTTCCTAAAAATTAAATTTAAAAAACATGAAATTCCTTTAGAACAAATTATTTATTCAAACTACCTCACACAACAACATAATACCATAGTTTTCCAACATCTACTGCTATTTCTCACTTTTCTAAAAATTACCTAATAAACAACCTGCCAAATGAACCTAAGTAACCTCATTAATTACCACAGGATTTAAAAAAAAATGAAATTCCATCAGAACTAATTATTTATTTAAATTATCTCACACAATATAATATCGCAGTTTTTCAATATATACTGCCACGACTGAATTTTCTAAAAATTACCCAATAAACAACCCGCCAAATCAACAGTTTCGACAGGCATCCCCTGGCTCTCGCATGAAAATTCCAACCGCCCCTGAGCACTCGGCCTGATTTTTTCGATCGCCGGCAGCTCGCAGTCGTTCATAATTCGACGAATTCCTTAATTGCATATCGCCAGTGCCGGCTTTGAAATTGTTCCGCGAAACAGCCTAAAAACATTTCCTGGCGTTCTCGTGTCAGCGAAATTTTACGTTCTACTTCGGAACGGGGACGCTGTCTTTAATTGTCCGTCCTCTCAGTGCTGCGCAGTATTGCGTTTAGGGTCGGGCAACAAGTATCCCCGACGCTTGTCCTGTTTAACTGCCTCTTCTTCGGCCCAATAAATAACTATCGCCGACCGTGCCCGTTAATTAGTACGCGCCCTGACGCCTGCAAAAAATTCCGGGGGCCCCGCTGCGTAATTACGCGGCGGGATTTTCATCTGGCCGCCATTAATGACAGCGAATCTATTCATCCGGCGCACGTGCACGCTCGAGATGCGTTGCTCGTTAACGCGTTCGCTGCCACGAGAATTTAGAGCGTTTTGATATTACTTATCGTGTCGACAAAGGTAAATTATATTGGAACTCGTGGTTAGTAACGCGTTCATGACGAGTTAGCTTATAGGTTGACTGATGCGAGATGACTTGAAAATAATTATAGTTCGTGAGATAACGAATAAAAATATTCAGTAATGTGAAACTCTAGGTGGTATTGGAACGTGAGAATTTATTTATATTTTTAAAACTAACAGTTAGAGTTTGAGAGTTCTGTGAGGAATACAAGTTTAATGCGATGCTGCGAAATATGTGAATATGTAGCGAAGAAAATTTTAATTGCAGTCAGTTTAACTTTATCTTCTTAAACGTAGTGTCAACGAATTTCTGAGGTTGCGCTGATTAAAATGAGTCCAAACACGATGGGAATCGGACTAGTTTTATAAATTTGATGTAATTTTCGAAATTAAAGGTTCGTTTCTATGAAATTAATTTTTTTTCTGATTTATGTCGTGTTTGGACTCATTTTAATCAGAAGAATCTCAACAATCTATTGGTACTATGGTTGACAAGGTATCGTTAAAATTATTGCAATTGAAATTTTAGAATAAGATGATTTTTAAGAAAATAGCTTTACTTCATAATTTATGTTATTAATTTACATATATCAAAACAATTTTAAAATACCAAAGCTTATAATTTTGCTATCAAATCATCAGTCTCCTGAGAGTCCAATGACCACCACTTGATTCAACGCAGCGAAGCAACAAAAATTTTGATACTTCATATCAATCTGTGTACAATGAATTGAATATTATTTTTATCACCCATGGAGTGCGAAGGGTTAACGAGGAGCACAATCTTCGCGTGTGTTCTCATTTTCCGCTGCAAAACTCGTCGTCCATCGTGCTCTTTGTTCCTCGGTGGTCGAAGCTTGACGCGAGATTCTCTTTCGGCAGCGGTAACACAGTTTTCGTAGCCGGTCGTTTGATCTTCGGACAGGAGGCCGACGAATGTCATTATTTTTAATTGCACCGCGCGTCGCCGCGCTGGGATCTATCGGAATCCGGTCACGGATCGACGTCACTCGTGTTTTAAGACTGTTCCGGCGACGCAGCAGGAATTTCCGTGAAGGGACCCGAGCGAATTACTTCCGTGGTGTAATTAACACATTGGCCGCTGCGTCGTCCGTGTGTGGGGTGTTTCGTGTAAAGTCTTCGTTATTCGAACGTGAGTGACGGGGAAACGTTTCTGGGATGTATAGTGCAGCGTAGAAGAGATGGGGAGGGTACTAAGGAGCTGAAGAGTCAGATGGTCGGGGCGTTGGTCCAATCAGGACGTTTGGATCACCTACGTTTTGAATGAATGATTGCAATTGGTAGTGGGAGTGGACTGAACGAAGCTGAGTGGAAGGGAGGTGGGAATGGATTTATGTGAAATTGTAGGGAAATATATGAAACTGTATAGAAACATATAGGGTTATATAAAAGTATATTATAATATATGAGAATATATAAAGCTATATGAAACTATATGAAGTTATATGGAACTATAGAAAAATATAGAAAGCTATAGACAAATATGGACAACTATATAAAACTATATAAAACTATATAAAACTATATAAAACTCTAGAAGATGCCGCCATTAATAGAAAGAAACAGTAGAACGTGAGTACTCACCAGAGAGCGTCTTATTAATGTTTATCATGGAACCGTCGTCCCTCTTCCAGATTATAGACGGTTTCGGTCTTCCGGTCGCTTTACATGTCAAACTAACGTTCGCATTTTCTCGCACAACGGCATCCGACGAGGTCTGGAAGTCTTCTATGTTTGGTGGCACTGCGAACAAAAACATGTTTGCGGGTAATGTTTGTTTCAGCGTAGCAACAGCTCATCTATTCACTTCCTTTCACAATAACCGGAGGAACTCTATTTGGAAGTTGCTTTGTTCGAAACTGGCCGAAATACTCAATTGAACATACACTGTGTCTTTCAGCGTGGACTATTTATTATGCCTCCATTTGCAAACACGATTATCATTAATAATTATTCAGCGTTTAACACCAAAACCACCGAGCAGTAAAATTGACTTTTTGAAATTTTATGGAAAAACCAAGACTGCACCCGCTGTGACTTTAATTGATTTATAATTCAGTCTTTGTATTGTTCAATTTCTGTTACATTTCTCAGAGAAACATTTGTTGTCTTTTTAATAATTACAAAAGATATTGGGAATAGCCCATTTTGACCTTTCTGATAGTAATAATTCTTAAGCTAGAAATTTGATCATTCATTTATTCTCATTACTCTCAAAATATATTCTCCATTTTTACATGGTTCACCAACAAATTAAAAACTTCCCATAGAACCATCAATTATCTTTCCAACTATCACAAAAACAAAAAATAAAAATGGCTCATTTTGACACATCTGGCAGCATTAGTGCCAATGTAATGATTTTTAATTTAACTACACAGTTTCTGATATCTCAAAATACAATTTTATTTCACATACTTCACCAAAAAATTAAAAATTACTCCCACCTTTCCCAAACTATCACTCACCTCCCACAACTTCCCATAGAACCACCTGTAATCTTCCCAAAAATCACAAAACCAAAAAATCAAAACATCAAAAAATCAAATCCACCTATCTTCCAAAAATCACGAAACCAAAAAACCAAAACAGCCCATTCCCACTATCAATTACTCCCATCATCAACACTCTCCCATCAACTTATCTCATCCTCCAACACTCCACACACTCCCATGACCAAACCCATAACCAATAAATATCCCCTTCGGGTCTCGATACAAAAACCATCCTTTTTAAACGCGAAAATAAGCGATACTCCGTTTCCCCGGCAAAAACCGTGGAGTAACGATTCATCGAGGCGAACGGCAGCTGGAGGGCCGTCGACGTGCACTCGAGCCGCGTCAACGGCGGCGAAATCGTGCAAAAGAGCGACACTGAAAGAACGAAAGCGTCAGTTGGACCCAGCAGCGGTCACAATAATAAAATTTGCATGACACAGGGCCGCCGTCCACGAGTGGACCTTGCTCGAGAACGTTCCGAGGAGCCTGCCCCCTGAAAGAAGACCTGCAGCAGCCTTGAATGGCATTCTTTCACATGCAAATCGAATTCAAACTTAAGCCGGCGGGGAAAAAAAGACGAGAGAAGGCGTT